AAAAATTAACCGAGTTTTAAAAAAAATTTTTCGAACTTGTTATTAAATTAATACACACATAAATTTTTTTTTTTCGTGACTTTTAACGGTTATTTATTACCATTTTTTTTACGGTTTAAAAAGTGAGCCAACGTTAGAGAGAAAGAGATAGAGATATAGAGAGAGGTAGGGGGGCAAGGTCGCAGAATAAATTAAATACATTTAATTAACTCGCTGTAGATTTATTTCAATAACGCGTTTTACCCGAGGTTAATAATATAGTTATTGGAAAGTTGAAATGATTGTGGACAAAAAAATAAACGATTAGAGAGATCAAAACTGGATCTTTTATTATTATTATTATTATTATTATTTTACCTCCGAATAAATAAAAACAAAGGTATTAATTATTTGAAAATTTTATTAATAAAAAGAAGTTTAAAAATTTCGCTTATTTTTCTATTTATTTTTTTTTTAAGCATTTAAAGCGAAACTCTTTATTATTATTATTATTATCATTTTATTTTTCTGACGTTTTTACCGCTCGAAATTAAAAATTTAAATTTAAATTATTTATTTGAATAAACGTTTATTTTATAAACGATTATTGTAATTATTTTAAAATGGGGGGAGGGGGAGGGGAGAGGGGAAAAAAAGTAAGAAAGAAAGAAAGAATGAGAGTTGAATTGATTCCAATTTAATATACGTTTCTCTTGTTCTTTTTCAAAAAAAATTAAAGTTTTTTCTCTCTTTTCTTTCTTTCTTTTTTTTTTTTTCTCTTTTGCTTTCTTTTTCTTCTTCTGTTTCAATAAAATCGAAAAGGGAATTTATTTTAAGACTCCAAAGTAATTAAATGCAGGTATGAAACCTGTTTTATGTTTAAAATAGTAGAATAAAAACGAATCGAAAAACTTTTTTTTAAAATTATTATACAATTAACGGTTAACCGTTAGAAGAAGGAGAGGGAAATTTTTTCCCTCTTCTTAAAAAGGTGATGGGGAAATTTGATTGAGAATTAATAAATCCAGCTAATATATAAATATTTTTCTCCGCAAAATGAAAAAGTTAATGTAAAATTTATTTGTAATCATTTGAATCAATGATTGATTGCGATTACAAAAGGTTTTCCATACTCCATTACTAAAAAATTCATTTTTCTAGCAACACTTCATTAATATCAATATATATATATATAAGTCTTAGGTGTGTATATATCTCTATCAATTGTACATGATAATATCCGCAGGGAAAGAAACGAATTGTTAC